GCCCGTCGCCTGGGGCAAAGGTCCGACTATGTCGACCCCCCACTGAGTAAAAGGTATAGGCGAGCTAATCGGAACCATGTTCTCAGCCGCTTTATGTATCAATGGACCATGCTGCTGACACCTCTTACATTTGCGCACAAGGTCCTGTGCCATCGCCCTCATCTTAGGCCAGAAGTATCCGGCCCGGAGTACCTTCCCGACCAACGCCCTAGCCTTCAAGTGATCACCACAGCATCCTTCATGTACCTCCCTTAGCACGTACTCTCCGTCCTGCTCCGAGACACACCTTAGATGGGGCCCTACGTACGATCGCTTATATAAGATCCCATTCTGCAAATAGAACCTCAATGCCCTCTTTCCAACCGGGTCGTCCCTGATATCCTTTCCAATCACCGGCTCTCGCAACCACTGTATTAGGGGCGACCTCCAATCCTCTTGCTCTTCAACCTCTAGCACTTGGTCTAAAGTACTTCTGGTCATATCCATCAATGTCACCGACCGAGATCGACAATCCACAAGCGATGCGGCCACCTTCGAGAGTAGGTCAGCCCTACCATTTTCCCCCCGCGGTATCTGTATCAATTCCCAGGTCGCGAATCCTTTTAACATCGCATGGACCTCCATCAGGTACTTCTTCATGCACTCCTCCTTAGCTTCATACTCGCCTCTGACCTGTTCGACCACCAGCTAAGAGTCCGAATGAACTTGTCGGGCTCCTTCCTTCAAAACGAGTTGGATCCCCTTGATGAGGGCTTCGTACTCTGCTTCATTATTTGACACCCTGAACGAGAGTTTCACCGCGAACTCCAAATGATCCTTCTCGGGCATGACCACCAAGATGCCGAGACCCGCTCCCCCTACGGCCGACGAGCCGTCGACATACACCATCCATGGTCCCTTCTCATCTCCCAGTGTGCATTCTTGTATGAAATCGGCTAACGCCTGCGCCTTGATAGCTTTTCGGACCTCGAAGTCAACATTGTATTCGCCTAACTCCACTGCCCACTTCACCATCCTTCCCGAGGCCGAAGGACGACCCATAGTATCCTTGAGTGGGTAGTTTGTTCGCACCATGACTTTATGCGCTAGGAAGTAGGGGCGCAACTTTCGAGCAGTGGAGATGAGTGTCAAGGCGGCCTTCTCCACATCTGAATATCGGCGCTCGGCCCCTTGCAATATCCGACTTGCGTAATATATTGGTTTCTGCTGCCCATGTTCCTCCTTTATCAATACAGAACTGATGGCCTCGTGACCCACTGATAAGTATACAACTAGAGTGTCGCCAGGCTCCGGCTTTGTAAGTAGGGGGAGCTCGGCCAAGAATTCTTTCAACCTCTCGAATGCATGTTGCACCTGAGACGTCCACTCGAACCGCGACCCCTTCTTTAATGCCTTAAAAGATAGAAAACTCTTTTCGGCGGATTGAGCGATGAACCTGCTCAACCCCGCTAGGCGCCCGGTCAAAATCTGCACCTCTCTTAAGTTCCTTGGTGGCTGCATTTCGATGACGGCTCGCACCTTCTCTGGGTTGACTTCGATGCCCCTCTCCGTCACCAGATACCCCAAGAATTTTCCCGAGCGCACCCCGAACTTACACTTGGTCGGGTTGAGCTTCATGCCATATAGTCGCGAAGTGTTCAATGTCTCACGCAAGTCCACCACATGATCATCCGCCTTCTTGCTCTTCACTAGCATGTCATGGACATAGACCTCCATGTTCCGCCATATTTGCCCTTTGAACATCTTATCCACCAACCGCTGATAAGTAGCTCCCGTATTTTTCAATACAAAAGGCATGACAACGTAGCAGTAGGTACCCTTGGATGTCACAAAGCTAACCCTCTTTTGGTCCTCCACGGCAAGGGGGATCTGATGGTACCCCTGGGAGGCGTCCATCATGCTCAACAACTCGCACCCAGCCGTAGAGTCGACGAGCTGGTCAATACGTGGTAGGGGGTAGTGATCTTTTGGGCAAGCTTTGTTGAAATCCCTGAAGTCGATACACATCCTCCACTTTCCTTCCCCCTTGCGCACCATAACTGAGTTGGACAACCACTCCGGGAACTGAATAGGTTGTACATGCCCCGCCTTCAACAACTTCTCCACTTCTGCCTCAATGACCACGTCTAACTCAGCACCAAAGTGCCTCCTCTTCTGTTTTACCGGTCTCACAGTTGGGTCAATGTTCAACCTATGCTCCGCCACCCCAGGGTCGATCCCTGTGAGGTCGTCAGCTGAAAAGGCGAAAACATCCACAAACTCCTTCAATAGCGCAATCAACGCACCTTGCAGATCCACCGCCAAGTGACGTCCTACCTTTGTTGTATTTTCCGGATTACCTTCTATCAGTTCGACTTCCATCAATTCGTCCTGGGAGCTAATTCCCAACTCTTGCTTCTTCTCCCGACGGGAGCACTCCGGCAGGTTGTCATTCTTCCTCTTATGCTGCGCATCGGCCGTCTTCAATGTGACCTCATAGCACCGCCGAGACTGCAATTGGTCTCCAGTCACTTCCCCAACCTCATCCCCTACGGGGAACTTGATCTTCATGCAATAAGTAGAAACAGTTGCTTGGAATGAATTCAGGCTAGGCCGCCCCAGTATGATGTTGTAGGCCGAACTAGCATCCACGACCAAGAAGCGGACCATATTTACCTTTCTCAAGGGCGACCTCCCCAATGCCACAGTCAGACTAACTTCACCCACGGGGCGGACCTCACTACCGCTGAAGCCATAGAGGGCAGTGTGGACCGGCTCGACCTTCACATCTAACTCCATCTGCTGTAAGCACTTCAGGAAAATGATATTCGCCGAGCTCCCCGTGTCTAT